GGCTACAAACAAGTGGTCTTGGGTGGTGGAAAGGACGGGGCTTGGGCTCGACAGGAGCCATGCTAGCAAGGCGGACACGCCATCATCCGCAGCAGCGTGACCGTACTGGATGCAGGTCCGTGGTGTGCGTGCAGGGTCGTATGGCCGCGAAGCTCTAGGCTCTTGCGGCCGAGTTCAAGGGGCATGACGTCCACCGTGTTCTGTAGCTAACAAGTGCGCATTCATGAGTGCACAAGCTGTGCGGCGACCATGAACGGCCGCGTGTAAGAGCTCGTGACCAGCGGCGGCGACGGTGGCAAACGACGAGGCGTCGGTGAGGGCGATTCTCGACAGCGCGTCCTCACGACGTGAGGTGGCAGGAGAGGGCAGGGGCATCTCCGCCATGGGGGCGACATGGGAGCACGTGACTTCGGCGAGGCAGGGATGGGCGTTGGCTCCCGGGTTTGGCTCAGACATCCAGCCAGCGCACGGTACGTCTCACGTCGAGGCAAGGCTGGTACAGGGGCTTGCGTTGCTTCATCGTCTCGTGGCGGCCAAATACTGGCGGCGACGGTTGATGGGGCATGGTCTTGACCTTGACGGTCATGGCGGTCAGGATGATCACGCCGGCGTTCTCCAACGCCGCATGTCGATTTGGCTTGGCTGGTCAACTGCTCGTGCGTGCTCATGATGTGAGTGTCCAGGAGCAGAAGAGCTCCGCCTTCGCGTCCCCCCGGTATGGGAGCGCTCGGCGCCATGGCGGGTCTCGGTATTCACAGCGAGCAAGGGATTGCGGTGACTCACCATTGGTGGCGGCGAAGAGAGGATGGTGGTGCAGGGTGAGGTGTTGCCGTGGCGAGGCGATGAGGTGACACCGACTCGACACGGGAGCGGCGACTCGGTCCACGGCGAGGTCACAGCTGTAGACGTGGTGGCGCGATGCCGGCTTGATGGTGGCGTCGTCATAGCGCAGGCGCGCTGCTCCGAGGCGAAGCAGGCTCGGCGCCGAGGTCGCGACGGCATTCCCGTGCGTGGGCCCGACGATGACGGCGTGGGCGCGGGGGCGCGACGTGGCTGCTCGAAGGCTCCGACGGCGTGGTGCTGTGGGGCTCGAAGGCGGAGCAGTGGGAGAAGAAGGCGGCGAGGATGGGGAATGGAGAAGGAGCGGCGGCACGCGTGACTTTTATAGCGGCCGACGCTAGGGTTTCGTGGAGAGCAGGGAGCTACGGGTTGGCTGCGATCATCGGGGTGCGGCAGCCAGACGCGTGGTGTCCATCCATGGCATGGGGTAGGTGCGCGGCTCGGGAAGGTTCGAGAAGAGGAGCGGGTCGCGGTGTCCGAGCGGCGTGCACGCAGAGGCATCCGAGGGCGAGCGGTTGGGCACGGGGTCTGAGCGGCGTCGCCTGGCTGGCTAATGGAGGAAGCAGGTGGAGAGGGCGAGGCTAATAGGGGAGCGGCATCTTCGTCTTTTCTTTTCTTCCCCGGCTAACGAGCGGGACCCACGGGGTGACGTACAGGAGCATGCACGTGAGAGAGGATTGGGTAGCGGTCTGCTGTGGCTGGCCGATGGGGCCAGGTGCAGACGGTAGTCCGTACAGGAGCATGCAAGGGCGGTTTGCCTGGTTTGGCTTGCCATCGGGAGGTGGCGGCGGCCTGGGAGCAGGGGTGCATTGCCCTAGGGCTTGGAGAGGCAGCGATGCTGCTGGGCTAGCTGGGCCACGATGGTGATGGGCCGGAGGGAAAACTGGGCTCCGGTACTTGCTATTGGGCACTGGCATGTATACACGTATATACACGTATGGAGTCCTTGCATGGCCATGTATATAGAGGAAGCAAGGAGCTCACGTGATTAGTGGAACAAGCACACCAGCCGGCATATTTGTTCACCTAGTTGGATTATTAGGAGCATGACATTGGGTGATACAGGATGGATACGTGCCACTTCTTGATTTAGCCTTACGTGCTTCATGTAACTAAGTTACGAGGTACAGGTGCATGCTCGCATGCAGTGCAACCTGTTGGTCAAGAGATTAAGGAGATAGGGATTTCCTAAACTGGTTCTAGGGTTCGTGATGAGTGCACTGGTGTCCGTGACATTGATGTGACAGCCGGTATGACATGGCGATCATTTGGAGGCACGGGCAGGAGAGCGTTCTAGGAAGGTTCCATAAGGGAAATGTCGGGGCTTGGTCTCGTTGGTCTAGGTTTTTATAGAATGAGAGAGGTTCACGGGAGAGTCGGAATAATCCTGCGAGGTATCCAAGGGAGTTGCTATAGATTGTGCTTCTCCAAAATGAAACCAAGACTCAAGCACGAGGCAACAAAAGAGCTCCGGCAAATCTCTACAAACAATTCTATATGCATGCAACGTTTCGTTAGCGGGTTTGACTCGTGTTTGACCTAACGTTTACATGCTTCACACGATTACAGGAAAAATTTTAAAAGTTCATAATTTTTGGTTTCCAGAAAAATCCGGGTTGTTACACCCCGTGTACAAGAGCGTCCGCTGCACCGGTGTAACAGGGGAGCCCACCCGCTCGCCGTGCCCGCAGGGGGTCTCAACCTCGTCGTGCCCGCATCACCTCCATATATAGCCAGGGTCTGCATCTCCGTCGCGCGGGGAGATGACACAAGCTTCAGCTCCAGGACCTCTGCGGGGCCAGCGGAGGCAGCATGTCATACGAGGACGGGCCATGTGCACCAGTGTGGACGCCTGTATGGCGCTGTCGCCAGCTTACAGCCGCCGCTGCCATGTCTCCCGCACTAGCTCTCTCTTCCTCGCTAAACATCCCTACATTAAGATCTACTTTTGCAACACTCAGATGAAACTATTGCAACATACGACTGAAATAGATAAAACATTTGAAACATACACTTGCAACATAGTCATTGTAACATATGCAACGTCTAGATAGAACACTTGCAACATACTTCTAAAATAGATGAAACATATAGAACATATTATTGCAATATATGTATGAAACATATGCAAACATCCGGATCAAAACGCTTGCAACATACGTCTGGAGCAGATGAAACATTCTGAACAAACACTTGCAACATATGTAATATCCCAGATCTACTTTTGCAACATCCATAAGAAACAACTGCAACATACTTTTAAAATGACTGAAACATCTGAAACATACATTTGCAACATAGGGGAGAGGAAGCCTAGGCCAGTCGATTCTAGCCGTCAGAGTCGGAGTCGCCGGCGAGCGGCGGCGAATGAGCACCACCAGCACCTAGCACAAGTGGCGTGCGCGAGCACAACAACCAGCCAGCGCCACTAGCACTGGCCTTGGCTCAGCCTAGCGGGCGGCGCGTGCTACGAGAGGGAGCGGGCATCACGATGCACGGCCAAAGCGAGGAGCGAGGTGTGGGTTGGGGAGCGCGACGGGCGGGAGAGAGGAGCGAGGAGCGAGCGACGCATGTGGGGCACACAACGGCGCAGGAATGAGGAGCGAGTGAGCGGCGTAGGGTCAGGGCGCAGTGGGAGAAGGCCGAGCGGAGTGAGCGCGCGGTGTCCGGATGAGAATAAGAGACGGAGGGAGTCAAAGTTATGGTGCATGTCACGCAACGCATCTATCCGGAGAGAGTCGCTGGCATTGGACATCCTGGTTGTAGCATTATCGATAAAGTAGTATAGACGGGTGGCCATCTCGTGAAATATTAGTCCACAGCCCCACAACCACTAGAACCGTCTCTGACGACATAATATCCGAGACGCGTCTTACTATAACCCTTCTCTAATATATCAAAGACATGCGTCCTTGAGGCTTGTCTGTTCTATACAATACATCAAAGACGGTTTATAATTCAAAGATGTGGATTTTTGTTACCCATCTTTTAAGCTAGCACCACCGGTTGAAACAGACGGGTATATATAATTTCACTACCGGAAACCTTAAATTTACCGAGTGTTTTTATGTTTGTCGAGTGCATTCCCTCGTACACTCGGCAAACAAATTTTTTGCGAGTCTTTGCTAAAACACCGGCAAAAAAAAACCCTCAAAAACACTTGCAAAAGCAAAAAAAAACACCTCGGCAAATAGGAGGTTTTGCCGAGTGTCAAAAAAAACAGTGTAAAAAACACTGCAAGATTCCTCACCGTAAGAGGATTTGGAATTATTGTCAAACATTGACTAATTAAGTTCAAAAGATTCGTCTCGCAAAGTACAATTAAACTGTGCAATTAATTTTTGATTTCGTCTACATTTAGTACTCCATGCATGTACCACAAATTTAATGTAACGGAGAATCTTCTTTTTACATAGTGCACTTTTTGGAGAAACTAAACATGGCCCGAGTGTCAAAAGAAACGCAAAGACGAAACCCGAGTGTCAAAAGAAACGCAAAGATGAAAAAAAACACGCCGCATAAAAAATCCCCTCCCATTCCCACCCTCCCCTCCCTCTCGCCCCAGCTCGCTCCCTCCCCGGATCCCACCGCGCTCCTCCCTACGCCCCACCGGCGGCCGGCCCCTCCCTCTCCTTCCCCGGCGCCGCCCTCTCTTCCTCGGCGGCCGGCCCCTCCCTCTCCTTCCCCGCCGCCCCTCTCTCTCCCCGGATCCGGCCGCCGCGCCGCCCCTCCCCTCCGGATCCGGCCCCGCCGCCTCCCTCCCTCCCGGATCCGGCGCCGCGGCCTCCGTCCCTCCCTCTCCTTCCCCGCCGCCTCCCTCCCTCCCTCCCGGATTTCCCCGGATCCGGCCGCCGCGCCGCCCCTCCCCTCCGGATCCGGCCCCGCCGCCTCCCACCACGCCCACCCACGACGCTGCTGCCGCGTGAGGGCGACGCGGACTGGGCGGAGGCGGCAGCGGGGGTCACCGAAGAGGTGGTCGCGTCCGCGCGGGACGCGGATCGCGGCCCGTGGCTCGACTCCCCCCCTCTGATGACGCCGACTCTGATGGTTCGTGGCTTCGTGCTATCCTTTCAGAGGCTCTTCTTCATCGGTGTCGGTTGAGATGGGTTGAGATGAACTAATTGTCAGTTGCATTGTTGACTTGAAGTGCAGATTTTGACATGACTGATGCGCAGCAAGATCACGCCCTGGCCGTGGAAAGCTTGGCGCCCGAGCTGGCTGATCTGAGGATCGAGCTCTGCCCCAGCCACATGAGCGATGGCTGCTTCTGGAAGATATACTTCGTGCTGCTGCATCCTAAGCTCAGGAAGCATGATGCTGAGATTTTATCCACCCACAGGTGATTTTCCTTGACATCTTAAGTTCAACACTTAAACGAGTTAGTAATACAAGTTCACTAAGTAGTAAGTACCTGAGGATTTTCCTTCATGCTAGTTAACTAAGTTAGTTGTCTTTGATGATTCAGTCCGGCACACTTATGCATTCTCAAGCTTTGTGCTTCTGTGCCTGCCATGGAACCTATCCTTTTTGTCGGATAAGATCATGAAGCCTTTACTTATCAAAGTGTCACAAATGCAGTGGATTATAATCTGAATCCAACACCTCATTCATGTCATCTAAGCTAGTGAAACCTTCCAACATTCCCTTCCTCCTGCCTAAAAGTGAAACTAATTTGAATTTTTTTTTGCTTCCTTTGCTCTTCCAAGGGAGTGGAGTTAAATCACATTGCACTAGGCCAACAGTTTGAAATTGGCTCACCATAATTTATAGCTAAATTGATTCGTTGTGATTGTTATCCTCCCTGGAATCTATGCTTTAGATATTGATATATTGACAGAAAGTCTAATGTTTCTGATGCTTTAGTAGTTTATATTAAATTTTCTTTCTTGCTAGTCATGATGGGTTAGCCATCCAAATACATCCCTAGTTTGAATGGGACTAGCTTGTTCTGGACACCTCAAGTGGTTCGTTATATTCTACTAATTTTCTATAATAATGAGTGTTTTGTCCAGTTTTATTTGTTACTGTATTTTTATTGATTCAGTTTCTTCCTTAGTACAATTTTGTTCCCAGAATGATGCTTTGCATGAGTCTGAACTCTGAAGTGCCATATGATGAAGTGAATAGCAGAAACATGTCAAATAGCAAACAGTGAGAATTAGGCATCAAGTGAATATTTGACTCAACAAAAACCATGGCCCATGGGACATAAAGTGCAATATGATGAAAATGATTAGCTCCCATGTTTGAATAATTCATTACACTTTTTAGCCCTCAGATGCATGCATGAGTCTTGAGAGGCAGATATATTGATAGAACATCATTTTCCATATTTAGGCTCTCAATGCTTTAATAGTTTCTGCTGATGATTGTGCTTTCTTTCTAGTTATGATGTATCAACACACCTTTTTATTTGTGCTGACTGCACAAAAGATAAGCTGGTATCTGCCAGCTCAAGACATTGTTTGCTAGCAGACTTCTTATCAGTTCCTGATTGCCTTGGCACAGATTTTGGAAGCTAGAGACAAGTTGTCACACGATATGCAGTATCGGACGAAGTTACAAGGCAGCTATGGGGACACCGTACCTGTGCCTTTCAACAATGAAGATGGTGTTTTAAGTTCTCCTGTAGAGGTTTTGGGTGTATTGAAGGGCCAAGATGGTGTTTTAAGTTCTCCTGTAGAGGTTTTGGGTGTACCTGTGCCTTTCAGCAACGAAGATGATGTGCATGCAGATATGATGCACTAAGAGTGTTTTATATGGCAGCTATTAAACTGAAATATGTTGAGAAAAAAATTATTATTTTTCTTTGGAAAATAGGTTTGCCGAGTGTAATTTCTAAAAACACCCGGCAAACAATAATGTTATGCTGAGAAAAAATATTTTTTCTTTGAAAATAGGTTTGCCGAGTGTAAACCCTTGGCAAATAATAATCCTTTGCCGAGTGTATTTTGGAAAAACACTCGACAAACCACGTTTTTTGCCGAGTGTCAAATTTGACACTCGGCAAACCATTTGCCGAGTGTTGTGATAAAAACACTCGGTAAATAGCTATTTGCCTACACTGTAGATGCCATGTGCTGTTTGTCGAGTGTTACACTCGGCAAAGTCTTTGTCGAGTGTTTTTTAGTCTTTGCCGAGTGCTTGTGGCACACGGCAAAATCACTGTTTTCGGTAGTGTTTTTTCTTAGGTTGGAACGAGCTGGAAGCATATAAATAGCAATGGCAGGGTTCAGCCTACCGGTTAGGGCACAAATGCTAGAGGGAACCAGTAGAAACGAAAATCTTGAAAATCTCCAAAAATTTTAAAACATGTGAAATTTTGACTAAAATTTAAGAACCCGAAAAAAATCTCATTCGAATAAAAAAACAAGATTACCAATAGCACGTACTGGATAATATAATGCATGTTTTGCTTTGAGTAGTTGGATATAATACTCCTTTCGTTTTAAATTATAAGTTATTTTGAGTTTTTTTATACATCCATTTCGCTATTCATCAAGATATAATAATATGTCTAGATACATAGAAAAATAGATAAAAAAAAGTCAAAGCGACTTATAATTTGGAATGGAGGGGCTACTAACGCATGATTTGCTTTCAAGTCTCAGTGGACAAATACACTCGATCACTTGTTTGGAAGTATAATTTTTTTCCCGTAAGCAAATTAATTAGTACCACGTTAGAGTGACCTCGCTCTTCGCCCCAGACAGCGACATTTGTACTGATACGTGCACTTGCATTGAGCCTTCATTTCGATCAGCGGCGTTAATCGATGGGTCTCTCTTCCAGCACACGAAAAGTAGCTGGAGCGTACGTAGTCTCCATATGCATAATGCATGCAGCGACGACCGATCTACAGTACCTCCAGGCTCAGCCGAGGTACGTAGCTGACCGGCGAGGCTTGGGCGGGCAAGTCACCGATCGAGTTTGGCAGCACGACAGACTCCTCTCGACTGCTCTCAGAACATACGCGTGCCTAGTAGAAATAACAAAGATCAGCAGATGTGAAAAGTAGGCACTACTAAGTGCTAATACAGGCTGCTGCAGGGCTACCAGGTTAGCTCAAGCTAGCAGCAGGCAACGGATCACACTTTTGTTTGATGGCTTGTTGCCATTCCTCTGCATGCGTAAATGTTATCCACAACGTGACAGCTGTTAGTTAGCTTGTTTGCGGGAGTCTCAAGCTTGATGGAATGATCGCATCGACAAGCTAAATGTAGATGGAATGATGGATCCATAATTAGTAACCGCCAAAACAAACGGCGATCAAAACAAAAAAATTGCCATCTTAACACGGCGATCGCACAAAAAATGTTTCAGATAGAGTTTCAGTTCCACAGGTGCCTAACCGAATTGTCACTGCCGTGGGGGCACAGAATCAGATGGACTTGTCCCGAGAACAAACACACGCTCGTGCACGTGTTCAATCTTCTTGACCTGAGAAACCTGCAGGTGGACACGATTCAGGCACATTTGTCTCCTTGCCATTCCTGAAGAATTTGATCTCAGGAATCCATGGGGTATGGCGCGTGGAGGCTGCAAGCATGCACACTCCACTACACACATATCTGCTGCCAAACTAACTCTCCCGCGTTACTCTTCTTCACAAGCAAAGTTACTCTTCTTCACAAGCAAGAAGCAACGCAACCCGCGCGCGACTATATATACGGCCGTGGGCATGCAGCTTACTCACCAAGTCACCATCCAAATCTAACACCAACACAAAGCTCTGCACTATAGCCTGAAATTCTGTTGTGATCTTGTTCACTTGAGAATTCAAAGTCCGGTCTGCAACTAACCAGGACATATGGCAACAAGATTTCATGCTGGACCACAACAATAGTAGTTCTAGCATTTATTGGTCACTATTCGGTTGGTCTGGTTTTGTGTTTTTTCGGTTTCAGGTTGTTTTTCTAGACTTTAAGTTGTCGTCCAGGTGGACATCTAGTTGGGTTGTCGGCCGGTGTGCCGTGGTGGCGGTGAGTTTGATCTCCCGTTGTTTGTTGTAATTTTTTTTCTTGTTCCTTTTTGCCCGTCTAATAAAAATCCAGCAAATCTCTTGCCGCCATTCTAAAAAAAACTAACCAGGATATCGTGCATAGCTCTGGCAATGGCATCCAGCAGCAATCTGATGATGGTGCCTCTCCTCGCGCTGCTCTTCATGTCCGGCACTCTTGAGGCTGCAAGAGCGAGCAATGACACCTCGGATCACCACTCGCGAAGCCCTGGCGCCAATGGATCTACCAACGCGCCCAGGGGCCGGTTGCTGGGGTCGTCGTCGCAGAGCGTGTTCAGCCTTGACAGCTACGGCGCCCGCGGCGACGGCAGCCACGATGACACGTAGGCGCTGGGCAGGGAGTGGAAGGCAGCGTGCACCTCACCGCGGCCGGCGGTCCTGCTCGTACCCGGTGCCAAGCGCTGTTAGATAATCTGCTGCATCCCTTGTGTGAATGCATAGCAGGGGAAGGCGACGCCAAAAAAGACTCCCTGCTGTTGCACTGTAGCAGCTGCAGGGGCAGGCGCCGAACGGTCCACCTGCCGCACTATAGCCACAGCAGAGGCAGTAGCTAAAGTCAGACCTGCTGTCACATCTAGTCACTGTAGCAGCATGACAGCTATACTAGGACTAGATAGGTAGAGTTGTATATATAGTTTACCACTGTAACTCAGTAAAGAGAGAATTCAGATTTGCCATCTCCTATACAGGGCTCCAGCCAACGCTGGTGTCTCTGCTGTGTGTGTATGCTCTGTTCTCCCTCACTTCTTCTATCTCTAGCCATAGTGTGTGGTCGGACAACGTTTATCGTGGTCGGCAAGACTAGTGAGTGGTCCAGTCACCTGAGCCGGTGGTCGGTAAGACTGGAGAGCGGTCGACTCACCTGAGCCGGTGATCCTGTGGGCCAACAAGTGGTATCAGAGCCGTACAACCGCCGTCGCCGGACTAACCGCTGGTGATGATGAACGGTTCGGAGATGGGCGACAGCAGTGGCACTGCTGTGGCTGCCCAGCCATAACAGGAGGTCGTTGTTCGCACTATGCGGGAGGACAGCGGCACCAGTTGGCCGACACTGACTTGCACCAACTAAGGAGAGTGGTCGATGACCATGAAGGCCAAGCTCAGAGCCCGACGGCTCTGGAATGCTGTTGACAAGGGCACCAAAAATGAAGAAGACGACATGTCAACGTTGGAGGCTATCCTCGCTGCTGTACCGATAGAGTATAGAGAGCCGTTGGGGTGAAGAACTCTGCTAAGGAGGCATGGGAGGCTATTGCAGCAATGCGCGTCGGTTTCGACCGCACAAAGAAGGCAATGGCCCAGCTTCTGAAGCAGGAGTATGCCACCCTCAAGTTCAAGGATGGTGAATTGGTGGAGGATTTCTCCTTCCACCTGCAGACGCTCATCAGCAAGCTAAAGAGCCACGGCGTCGCCATCGACGAAGAGGAGGCGATCTCTAAGTATCTCCACTCCATGCCGGCAAAGTACATCCAGATCGCTCTCTCCATAGAGACGATGCAGGACTTGTCCATCATCACCATTGAGAATGTGACAGGCCATCTGCGGGCGGTGGACGAGCGCCAAGAGCAGGCGACAACAATGAAGGACAGCAGCAAACTGCGAGCTGGCGGAGACAGTCTTCGTCAGACAACCTCCAGGTTTCACCGTCAAAGGAGCGGAGCACAGGGTGCTCCGACGCGCACAAGGCGCTCTACGTCTATGGTAGGCCCCACGAGCATGGAACGCAAAGCTTGACGCCACGCTGGGCGAGCTTGGGTTCACGAGGTGCGCAACCGAGCATGCGCTCTACACGCGGCGACGGGGGAAGGAAGAACTCATCATCGGTGTGTATGTGGATGACTTGATCATCATCGGCGCGTGTGCGGAGGACATCGATAGCTTCAAGCGTGAGATGGTGGCTTGTTTTTGAATGAGCGATCTCGGCGCACTCTCCTACTACCTCGACATCGAGGTGAGATAGTGGAAGGAGGCACTCATGCTCGGTCAGAGCGCGTACACCTTGAAGCTGTTGGAGCGGAGCGGCATGGCTGAGTGCAAGCCATGCTTGACCCCAATGGAGGAGCGGCTGAAGCTGACGAAGGCCAGTACCACGACGATGGTGGATGCAACACTCTACTAGAGCATCGGCGGCGGTCTATGCTACCTAGTCCACATGAGGCTGGACATTGCGTTCGCCGCCATGGGCTACGTCAGTCGCTTCATGGAGGACCTAGAGAGGATCACTGGGCTACGGTGAAGCGGCTATTGTGCTACGTCAAGGGGACGGTGGATCAGGGGACCATCTTCTCCAAGACCGGTGGGAGTAGGCTGTAGCTCACTGTGTTCAGCGATGCAGACATGGCGGGGGACATCGACGGACGGCAAAGCACCTCTGGTGTGCTTGTCTTCCTAGGTCGGCTCCAATTTTATGGTTGTCGCTGAAATAGAAGGTGGTGGCGCTGTTTACGTACGAGGTAGAGTACGTAGTAGCGGCCACAATCAGCGTGCCAAGTTGTGCGGCTGCACTGGCTGCTGGGTGAGCGGACTAGTGTGGAAGCTCACCACCAACATTGATGGTGGACAACCAGTCCACCATCGCCCTCACGAAAAATCCGGTTCTCCACGACCAGAGGAAGCACATCGACATGAAGTTCCACTTCATCAGGGACTGTGTCGATGGAGGGCAGATCATCATCGAGTTCGTCGAAACTGGTCGGCAACTCATAGACGTCCTCACCAAGCTGCTTGGTCGTCTTCGACTCACGGAGCTGAAGAAGATGATCGGCATGAAGGGGTTCTAGGGTTAGCAGCAAGATTAGGGGAAGAATTGTTAGATAATCTGCTGCATCCCTTGTGTGAGAATGCGCAATAGGGGAAGGTGGCGCCCAAAAGGGCTCCCTGTTGTTGCACTATAGTAGATGTAGGAGTAGGTGCTAAAGTTAGCCCGCTATCATATCTAGTCACTATAGCAGCATGACAGTTGTACTAGGACTAGATGGATAGAGTTGTATATATAGTTTGCCACTGCAACTCAGTAAAGAGAGAGTTTAGATTTGCCATCTCCTATATAGGGCTTCAGCCAACGCTGGTGTCTCTGTTGTGTGTGTATGCTCTGTTCTCCCTCACTTCTTCTACCTCTAGCCATAGCGTGTGGTCGGACAACGTTTATCATGGTCGGCAAGACTGGTGAGTGGTCGATTCACCTGAGCCGATGGTTGGCAAGACTGGAGAGTGGTTGACTCACCTAAGACGGTGATCCTATGGGCCAACAAGCGCTACCTGATCAAGGTCATCAGCCTTTCCGGCTCGTGCAAGTCAAACGTCACGTTCACGGCGAAAGGCACGTTGGTGGCATCGCCGAATAGAGCGGACTGGAGCGACAAGGACAGGAGCCACTGGATCGTGTTCCGAAGCATCAATAAGATCACCGTCAATGGCGGCGGAGACATCAATGGCAACGGCGACAAGTGGTGACCACACTACTACAAGATCAACAAGGCTCTGGTAAGTGTGGCGCCGAGACCTTTTGGTTTATCTCCATATCTATAAGCTTGATCTTTACTGGGAAGTATCTAATCTAGCTGAATATTGGCTTCTGTTTTCTTCAGCCTTGCAAGGAAGCTCCAACGACTTTGTCATTCCACCAATGCACCAATTTGAGGATGGATGATCTAAAAATTGTGAACAGCCAACAGATACATATGTCAATCGAAGATTGCACCAATGTACAATTGGCAAGGTTGTCCATCACAAGTTGGCACAAGCCCTAACACTGATGGCATCCACATCACTCAGAGCAAAGATGTACGGGTCACATACTTCAAGATCAAGACTAGTAAGTAGCATGTTCACTATTCACTTCATATGGAATATATTGTCTTCAAGCTTTTGGTGAACTTAGATCTTCTTTGTTGAATCTTGTAGGGGACAATTGCATGTCAATCGAGAACGAGACTAATAACCTTCATGTCTCCAAAGTTGTTTGTGGTCCTAGGCATGGGATCAGCATTGGAAGCTTGGGAGATGACAACTCAAGAGCTGAAGTCTCTAGCATTACCATAGATTCAGTGCAACTATATGCCACAACCAATGGAGCACGCATCAAGACAGATCAGGGAGGAAGTGGATACGCCAAGGACATCACATTCCAAAACATCATCATGTACAATGTCAAAAACCCGATAATCATCGACCATAATTACTGCGACAAGGCTAAGCCATGCGGTGAACAAAGATCAGCAGTGCAGGTGAGCAATGTTATCTTCAAGAACATTAGAGGGACAACCATTACTAAGGATGTCATCAATATGAATTATAGCAAGAATGTCCCATGCCAAGGCATTACCTTGCAGAACATCGACATGAAAATGTAGGGAGACAAGGGCAACATAGAAAGCACATGTTAGAATGCAAAATGTAGTAAATCTGGAACCGTCTATCTGCAACCTTGGACTGCTAGAAAGTAGGGGGCATCTAAACTTAGTTGCTTGTAATTTGTCGTTTGTACAGATAGAGTAAGCATGCTCATGTATGTATATATATTTCTGGCACCTATTTTTTCGCGATCGGGTCTTTTACCCATTTTTCATTAAGAGGAATGTTCAAAAGAAAGGCCGGATAATAGTTACAAAAGACTCACAAGTAATCCTAATATTACCTGCAAAATCCAAAAGACACAAACAGACAGCAAGAAAACATGAGGGGGGAACCACCACCTCAAACACCAACCGACTATGCCTACAAAAGAAAATACATCCGCAATGGTCTCCAACAGAGGGGGTGAAGCCGTGGTGGCAAAGCATCCATCGGTAGAAAGCCCAGCATATCCGCAAGTGACCAGGTAGCCGCTGTGAAGAAGAAAATGACATTATCCGCAAGCAACCAGGTAGACTCTACGAAGAAGAAGACAATAGCATCAGCAAGCGACTAGGTAGCCAGTGTGAAAAAGATGACGACTGCGGCAACAACAACACCCTAGGTGGATAGACCAAAGCGAAGAGGAAGCTGAAGCACAGCTGGCACAGTACAAGCTAGGAGCAGCTCCGATAGATGGTGGTCAACAACGAAGCCTCCAAGAAGGTAATGACGTCCACAGACGCCAACAATGTTGAAGAGGGCACAAGAAGGACTTACGTCCCAGAACCGGCCTGAAAGCCCTAGTTTGGTTTTGGATAATTGATGAAACCTAGCTCTAACCTTTGTCAAGAGTGGTGATATGAGCTAGGTTGGTGCAATCCAAGTGAGTGAGCAAGGTGAGGTCCATGGAGATGAAGATGGATAAGTGTTGATGATGATCAAGCTCTAACTTGGAAGAGAAGAAAGAGAAAAACAAAAACCAAGAAGATCAA